TGTATTTCCTATCTGGCGCTCGGCGCCCAGACTACAGATGGTAGATCCTATCTAGCCTAGACTACCATGTCGAATGTTGACGTCAACAACTTTCTGAAGTATGAGCATACAGCGACCATCGCCACACGCTTCCAGCATCAGGTATGTCTTCTGTATCACTTACGACCCGATCCCATGCACACAGTTGCCATGCGCAAACAATAATAATAATAATAATAATAATAATAATAATAATAATAATAATAATAATAATAATAAAGATGAGCGGTAGCGAATCTCAGCAACATTACACACACATACCCAGATTCATGCATTCGCCTTCTGTCTCTCTCTCCTTCCCCATTTCTCTCTCTTCTCCTCCTCCTTCTTCTTGTTCTTCTCCTTCCTCTTCTTCCCTGTGCATCTTTCTACCATGCAATCACGTTTCCCCCTTTCTGCGCATTTCCTCCTTCTGCCTCGTCGTCGTTTCTTCCTTACTCCCTCTGCGCAGTCTCCTTCTCACTCTTTTTCCCACTTTGACTCTGCAGACTCTCCGCTTTTCTTCGCCTTCCCTCTCGCATCGTCAACTTTCCTCTTCCCGACTGTATTCAGCCATTCGCAGCAGCAGAAAGCTTTGAATGTACCCGGTCGCGGTTTGTGACCGGGTTTATTCAATTCTAGTATTGAACCTTCTTCCTCCTACTCTTTCAACTCCTCCCCCTTTCTCTCTCTCCTACTTTCTCCCTCTCTCTCACTCTCTCTTTCTCTCTCTCCTTGGTCGAATCATGAACGTTTCACACCCACACATTCCATCGATAGGACGAGCAAAAACGGAATGAATCTTCCGTTGAAGCGTGAAAATATACACTGTCACTTTTTTATTAGCTCGTTCAATCAATCCAAGTAGCCTGCGACGAGCTGTGGTGCTGGAGACTTATAGGCTCTTTTCTCTCTCGCACACATACACACACACACATACACACATTCCATCGATAGGATGAGCAAAAACGGAATGAATCTTCGCTGAAACGCGAAAATATACACTGTTCACTTTTTTTTTGACTAGCTCGTTTTATCGATCCAAATAGCGTGAGGCGAGCCGTGGTGCTGGAGACTTATAGACTCTCTCTCTCTCTCGCACACATACACACACACACATACATTCCATCAATAGGATGAGCTAAAACGGAATGAATCTTTGCTGAAACGCGGAAATATACACTGTTCACTTTTTTTTTTTTTTTTTTTTACTAGCTCATTCTATCGATCCAAGTAGCGTGCAGCGAGCCGTGGTGCTGAAGACTTGTAGGCTCTCTCTCTCTCTCCTTTAATCTCTTTCTCATTTCCTTCTCGATCTTTCCTCCTTCTCGATCTCTCCTCCCCTTCTCGATCTCTCCTCCTTCTCGATCTCTCCTCCCCTTCTCAATCTCGATCTCTCCTCCTTCTCGATCGCTCCTCCTTCTCGATCTCTCCTCCCTCTCGATCTCTCCTCCTCCCTACGTGTACGCGTGTTGCATACAGTAAAGGTGCAGGCTAGAACAGGAACCGACCTCTCATACACCGTACGAGATAGCGTAGCGAAGACTTAGTTACCAATGATCCGATCAATCAGTATCGCAATGTGGCCCTGACATACATCATCATCTTGCCATGGCGTGAAGGGGTCTGGCTCCTACTTGGGAAGAACGTGCCAGTCCCTGCCATACATAGTCGAAGTGGAGGGGTTGGTCGAAGAAGGGGGAAAGATGGGAGAGGGTGAAGGAGAGATGGTGGACTTAGAAGAGGAAGAAGAATAACTCTCTCTCTTTCTTTCTCACACACACGCACACACACACACACACACACACACTCGAGCGAGCCCACACACACAAACGTGGTAATGTATATTCCCCTATTGTAGGGATAGATACATTCGATTTTTATTTATTTATTTATTTTATTTATTTATTTATTTACTTATTTCACCTTGCTCACCCTTTCGAAAGAGGGAGCATGAGGTTGCGGCGATGTTAGAGACCTACCTATTCTCTTCTCTCGTTTCCCCGACCGTCGTCCGAATCGTTGTCGCCTAGTTCGTGGGCGTCGTCGTCGAGATCGCCCGTCCGCCCGGCCAGGTAAGTGCTCTCACCCTCCCGCTTTCTCCTCCTCCTCCCTCCTTCCTTCTTTTCGTCTCTCTCCTCTTTCTCCTTCTCCCCCCGTCCTTCCTTCTTCCCTCTTTCTTCCTTCTTCCTCCTTTCACCTTCTCTTTTCTCGTCGGTACGTTCTACTTTGCCTGTGATCGCTGCTCATCCCTTTGCGCAGTTTCCTCGGTCCCCTTTCTCGTCTTTTCTTCGTCTGTGTCCTGCCGTACTCCTCGCTCGTTTTTGCCCTGCCCTGCTGCGGAGTCCGATTGGGCGCAGTCGGTCAGCTCCTTCCTAAGCGAATCTGCCCCAGTATCGGGGCGGAATTCATTTGGGCACCAAGGGGCAGATAGGCCGTTGAGAAAAACAACAAGATTAAGAAAAAAAAAACTAGAAAAGGAAAAGTAATAATTCTAAAATCTAATAAAGAAGAACTGAACTAACAAAATTTAATGAAACTCAACCTACAACTCCCCCTATTTTGCCAAGTGTCGGGGTCCACGACACTCGGTTCCAACTTAACAACTAACCCTACTAACTTCTACTCGTAAGGTCGCGGGTTCGAACCCCGCCTGTTTGAGGGTGGTCGGAAAAGGCATGCCCCGCCCCCTTTAGCTGGCAAAAGAGTTAGCCCGAAGGCAGATCGGACTCGATCCCAGTATCCCTCGCTTATCAGTCTGCGCCTTTACCTACTAGGCTAACTCTTACCACGATGTGGTAAAGAGCTGCCTTCCTATAAGTAGACGTAGTTGTCCGTCTTTTCCTAGTCTGCGTGAGTGTGTGTCCTTGCAAGTCAGCGTGCCCATCCGTATGCTTGTCGGCTTGAATATGCTTGCGACCCACAAGGGCACCTCGTGGACCGGTAGGTCCGAAGGGCCGGTACTTAGCCGTGGCCTCGACATTAAGGGTTGTGGAGGGGAAAACTTCAATTAGCAAGCGACCGGTATTCCACCAAGTAGAGGTAGATGCGTCGGGCACTCGAGATTGAGTATAAGAAGACAAAAGTTGACGTTTTTAGACCCCCAATACAGGTAGGTAGACGGGTAACATTCCCAAGTCTCAGTGTGCGCCATAGACGTTCCTGACACGGACTCTAACCTAATCAACCCCTCGACCCTCTTCTGTCGGCGGGGTATTACTCCTGGTGGTAACCACTACAGCGTGCGTACTTTCGAAAGTTTACCACCAATTTACCCCGGCCTCTTTGACCGAGGAATCCGTTTTCGAGTGTCACGCTAAAGCGTGCACACCCCTTTCACTCCAGCCCGACTCCGTCATGGTAGCCGAAGTCGTCATTGTGTCGAGTGCAAAAGTATGGCCAAATACCCTTGTAAGGGTATTTGGTCCGACAGTATCCCAGACCCTATTAAGCGACGTCCCCGTCGCACAGAGAACTATATGCAAACAAGATGTTTTCAGATAAGCAATTTGTCAAATCCGAATCATGGGGTGAGATGTGGTTTAGGATTGACGTTGTCACCTCACTTTTCATGACTACCACCAGGATTTTAACCCGGGTCTCCCACATTATAAAACAACTTAATGACTTGAAGTGGGGATACTTGATCCGTACTACAGTGTATGAAATAGTTAAGTATGACAACGCACCTTTCCTTTCCCTACTCCTTTAGACTTTCGATCCAGTTATTCGTTGGTTGTTTTCGGGGTTGGTGTTCGCGTACGAACTCATCCCGTCAAGCGCGGGTCCTAACCGAAACCTTGGTCGTTTAACTCTGGATATTACTTGTCCAAAGTTGCCTGCTGTCCTGCCTGAAGCCTAACACAGGAGGAAAGAGGTGTCCATCATGACCCACCACAGTCCTGCTGATTAGGCCGGAGCTGCGGCCCACCTCGTTGTTGCTTATCGGTGGTTACCCTCGTTGGTTGCGCAACGATGGGATATTCATCCTATCTTTTCAAATTATAGATTTCAAGACTAATCTCGACCCCTTTGACATCCACCTGAATAAGTCTCTTCACTAGGGTGGTCATCCCCTCTAGTCCCTCTTCTAGCCCATAGTCGAAGGGTCCGCTGCCCGGTTATGCTAGGTCAGCAGCCCACGCTGGGAGTTACGTCCTAACGATATCAATTTTCTACCACAGGTTTGATAATTTATGCCCTCAGGTTAACCCTTGAAGTGGATGAACGATGCTTCTTTTAAATAAACCAAATAAATGAGATTTTCCAATAAATTGAGCAATCGTCAGGCTGCCACTCAGGGTTACACCCTCCAAGTCTTTGATCATAGCTCGGTGAGGCACGCACCCCTGGGTCATTTTATATTATAAAAAAAATAATTATTTTTAAAATAAATATTTATTGACTCTTTGCTTGGCCGAATCCAAGAAGAAAAACCATCACTTTCATAACGATTGCAATTTTTTTTTGTAAATTAATTGATATGACTCAAAGGAGTTTATCCATGTCGTAGCATGGTTTTTCAAATATGAAATGTATAAACAATCCAGTCTTTCAGGTTCCACAAGCATTCATCAACTTTCACATGAAATACTGATCCGCCCGTTCCTCTATCACCTTCTTTAGATCTCAACAGAGTCTAGCAGTGATAGACGAAGGGAGATATTAGGTGACAAAGAGACTTAAATCAAAGACAAAGGTTCACACACAATGTGGCAAGTGCGTCGTGTCCATCAACTCATCCCCCTGAAAGATATATATAAATACAAAATATGTTACAGAGTCAAACTGCAACTCCCCTCTACTAATCCTCAAATACCTCACTGTTTTTTTCTATACTACTCCCTATGCTAAGTCTCCTTATATGACTGAAAAAAGAAACACAACATGTCTCACACCTTTCCCCTACCTAACTAAAGAAGAAAGCACATACAACATGCTCTAAATTACATTTTCTCCCACTCATAACTATTCACATACCAATACAAGTTACGGATTTACTCAAAAGCATCTACCTATTCCTATCTAGAAATCAATCGGTAGTCCCAGTATCCTGTGGAGTGCTACCCTGCCTTCCTCAGGTATCCTGCGAATGATCTGCCTCGTGTAGGCCACCAACCTCTTCTGATTATCATATTTGACCTTTCCCTCTTTGATATACAATGCCAGAATGGAACAATCATCCCTGAGATGTCCTTCCTTAGTGCAGAAGAAACACCAATTTTCAGCCATACTAGGCCTGATCTTCTTTATGTCTGGCTGGGTTGAAGTCTTAGCCCGATCCTCAACTCCTTCTGATGAACCCAATTCAGATACCCTTTGTCTTTTGCCCTCTCTTGGCAGAGGCATGGCCATACTCTCACTTACCTCCCTTTTTGGTGCAGGAGACTCCTCTTTTCTCTCTTTAGTCTGTACCCTCTTTTCTCCACCCTCTTTTCTCTCCACCATCTTTGTGGTTTCCCTTTCTTTGCCCTGATGGCTCAATTTGAGTTTTCCCATTCCTTTCAGTATTTCACCCCATCTTTTCTCCCAATCCTGTCCCAACTTCTTTCTCTCTGAAATCTCAGCATCCAAGTCCTGTCCTTGCACGCTGACCTCTGAGCTCAAACCTTTCACTTTCTTTTCCACTCTTCCCCTCGCATCTGCTTCATTCTCCAATTCCTTGTCTTTCATGGTCAGGGAGACCCTCAAAGTGCTCATTTGTTTTTGCAACTCCTCCTTTCCCTTCTTCAACTCCTCCACTTCCTTCTTCATCCCTTCCACATCTTCTATCAACTTCGCCACCTGGGCATCCCTCTCTTCTTCCTTCTTCCTTAGCCTGCTCATTTCTTTCAGGAACCCTTGGATGTAGTAAAAAAACCCTTGAGTGAAGAGTTCAGTGCTGCCCTTGAGCTCTGCCTGGAGTCCTTTCCCTACTGTGTCCAGGTCTTCCCCAACCTCCTTCATTCCATCTTCCCCATCTTCCTGGCAATCTCAGCATAGTCTTCCAAGAGTCTAATGCACTTTTCATCCAACATCTCATGCAGCCCCATCATCTTCTGCAAGTTATCTGAGTGCTTTGAACTTACCACAAACTCTGAGAGGAACATCCTCTCAAATCTGACATCCCACGTGGAGTTCACAAGCAGGTCGTCATCCTGCAGCATCCTGATCATATAGTTCCTTCACGCTTTCCTCTTCCTTTCCTTTTGAGCCCTTTCCTCCTTACTTACCTGCCCTTCCTCCACCTCCTCTCTCAACTGGGATGACTCTCCACACTCCACTCTCCTCTTTCCTGTTTCAACTTTCACTCCCTTGCTTCCATTTTTCCTTACTTCTTCCTCACCTTCTCCTCCTTCCTTTTCCCTTCCTTCTCCAATCGTCCCTTTTTCCTTCGTTCTTACAACCCTTGGAGCCTTGTCTTCTTCCTGGAGCTTCTTTCCTTCTCCTGTCTCCTTAGCTCCTCCTCCCTTCTCACTCCTCCTTTCCTGTACCCCTTTCTTTCCGACCTCAATTGACCTCTTCTCTTCAACCTTTCTTTCCCTCTGTGCCACGCTTGCCCTCAGGCTTCTCCTCCTCCTTTCTGCTGCCTCCCCCTCTTTCTGTTCATCTTCCTCTGCTTGGCCAGACCCTATGCTGTTGCTCACGGGGACATTCCTTGCCTTGTTCCTCAATCTTTTCAAAGGCACATCCTCTTCTTCTTCAACCTCTGTCTCCTTTCCCTGCAGCTCATCCATCTCTCTTCTACTTTACAACCCCTTTTCCTACAACCTCTCCTTCCTCGTTTGATCGTGTCTTGCCTGTGTGTATGCTATCCCCATTTCCGCGGTTATTCTCTCCCAGATTCGACTCTCTTCTACGGTCCCCTTTACTTCCTCCTTCTCACTCTTCTCTGTTCTCGCTATCAATTGTTTCTTTTTCTCTTCCTCACTTCATTCGCCTTTCTCAACGGCCAGCTGCAAACTGTCGATAAAATCCTCCAGATTTGTCCCATCAAATCTTAAGTCATCCTCAACTTCGTCCCTTGGGAAGACCCCCATATCCTTCCATAATCTCACCTTGCATGCCCTCCACCTCGTGGATCTAGCCGCCACTCCTTCAATCTTCTTCTTGTACACTCCTGCTCCAGTCACCCTTGCGAGTTTCTCCTTGTCACCCCACTCTCTCCTGAACGCGTACTCCTCAAGGTCTCGTAAGAATACTCGCAAGTTGTCGCCGACCCTGTAAATGGGCAACTCCTCCAGGCTCCTTAAGACTTTCTGGTCCCTCCTTTGCCCTCCCTTTCTCAAGGTAGGTCCAGAGGATCCTGCCCTCCCTCCTCTTTACGCCATGACCTCTTCTCTCCAAAGGTCACGCCTGCACACAGAGAAGGAGCAAACGACAGGTTCAAGGATCAGATCATCATCAAGGCAACACTTCCCATTAAAACATAAGCTTGACAATGCTCCCTTGCCGGGTACTTACATGCACGCACATATATACATATACATATATATGCCTTTATATATATATATATATTCATACATATATATATATGCCTGCATGTATATAGACATGTATATTTTCACTATACCTTTCATATTCATGTATTTATACACACACACACATATATATATATATATATATATATATATGTATCCATACATGTACGAGTGTATACTTAGGCAATGGGGTACGTACATGCATAGGTACTGATACACATACGTGCATAGACTCTTTCCTAGTCTACTCAGGCCTTTTGTATCATAGCTGGGCTCACCTTGACTTGAAACTTCTTTAGTCTGGACCTCGAAATCCAGTTCTTCTTTGGAGTCCCGTCCATCTCTTTTAGCTCGTAGACCTCGTGAAGTCCCTGCTTCCTGACTTTGAACGGTCCAAGCCAACGTTTGTCCAGTTTCCGCGACCACTGCATTTCCAAAGAGGAATCGTAAAGTAGCTTTGTCTCGCCAACTTGTAGAGGTTCGAGCCGCACTCTAGGGAGTTTGTCCCACCTTTCCTTATCTTTTCCCCGACTGCCTACAACTTTTACAGCTGCTTCCTGAACCCTTTCTTCAGTGGCGCTGATCTGCTTTGCTCTTAGATCTAACAGTTCTTCCAAAGTCAAATTGTTTTCCAGGTCCTGCCTTCGCCAAGTTTTCAGGAAACTCTCAATTGGAAACGTGGCGTGGCGACCATACCAGAGCGTCGCAAGTGCATACCCAGTCGTCCTTCTTACAGTGATATTCTCCACAAAGAATACCGTTCTTAGGAACTTTGGTCAGAGATTCGGCCTCCCACCGGTTCATTTGGCCAGTAAGTTAGTAATCGTACTATGACCTCGTTCGACCAGTGCATTTGCCTGTGGATGAGCCCGAGTCGTGTAATTTTCCATGACTCCCAATTCTTTCAGTAACTTCTTCACTTCTCCACATGTGAACTCCGATCCCCTGTCCATCGTAAATGCCAATACGAACGGATATCTGAGATAATATTCTTTGATGCAATCCGTCAGCGTTGCCCCAGTCTTATTCCTTATCACTCTGCCATCAACGAAACCAGTAAGGTTGTCCCTTACGTCAAATATATAGTTATATCCTCCAAGACCCAGCGACATAGCCAGTAGATCCATGTGAACAACCGCCTCTACCTCCTTGATATATCTAGGATGCAGAGACTCTTTGTATCTGATAGGTGATCGTACTTGACATGGTACACATGACTCACAGTACTTCCGAGTCATTTCAAACATCCCTTCCCAATAATAAAGCTTAATTGCCTTCTTATAAGTCGCAACGAAACTTCTGTGTCCCCAACTATACCATCATGCAATGCGGCCACGACATCAATCTGACGGTTTCTTCCACATACGACTCGATGCGGCGGCCCCTTTTTGTCCCTAATGAACAAGTGTCCACCTCTTACTACATAATGATCCCTCATCGTGAGAGTCTTTTCACTCACTTTTCTCTCTCTTTTATCTCTTGAGAGGAACAACCCCATTTCTAGATAAAATTCATCGCACTCTTCATCCGTGAATTCCTCTGAGATCTCCTCCTGCTCGAATTCCCCTTCCTTTTCTTCATCAAATTTGTAATCATCCCCAATCACTATCTCGTCGGCCTTCACCATTCCTCTTTCATCATTCGCTTGAACTTGCAACGGGGAGTTCGTTAGGTAGTATATTCTCTCCATCATGACCACCTACTCGTCTGCCTGTTGGACTCCTGCTTCGATTGTTCACGGCTCATCCAACATCCTATAGTTCTCTGCCAAAGCCAGCTCCATTATCCATTCTGCATTCCTCTCACCCCAAGAGTCCTCCTCTACTAATGGCGTGAGTATCAGGGAAGGTTCCCTCATGAATTCGGGAGGTGGATGCCACATCGGATTTCCTCTCCTCATTTTCTTACTTTCGACGAACATGAACCAACAATTCACATGAGTCCGCATGTCTTCCCTTTCCTCCAAAAATCCATCTACCGGAGACGTTTCCTCATTAGATTCTTCGTAGCTCCCCCACTCAATTTTGCTCATGCCATCTGCCCTATTCTTGTTCCCAGGGATGTGTTGCAGCTGAAAGTCAAACATTCAGATATAGGTGAGCCATCTGGCGATGGTCGGGTCTGAAGGCGAAAAATTATTGAGTGAGTATACAAGTGTCGTAGGATCAATCCTGAGGACGAATCTTCTCCCAAATAGGTAGTGCCTAAAAATTCTTAGGCAATGCAAGACTGCCATGGCTTCCCTCTTGAATTGTGAGTAATTTCTCTCTGTCGAATTAAGCGTCCGACTTTCAAACCTTAGTGGTCTTTCCTTCCCTTCACTGTCTGCTTGAATTAAAACGCCTCCCAAGGCAGTCGGTCTAGCATCGGTCTCAACTATGAAAGGCCTTTCCATAGTCGCGTCAAAGTCTGGTACCCCTAATACCAGTCTCCCTTCTCTGAATTCCTTCTTCAGTTCCTCCACCACTTCTTCTTGATGGTTTCCCCATTCTCATTCCTGATCCTTTCGTACTAACTTCCTTAGATGCTCTGTTTTACTAGCAAATCTTTCTATGAACCTCCTCCAGAACCCACAGGTACCAAGGAAGCTTCGAACTTCACCCACATTTCTGAATGGAGTGGGTCATTCCAGGATCTTATTAGTCTTCTTCTTATCAGACCTTCGACCATGTTCGTTGCAAATGTATCCCAGAATGGTTACCTCCTTTGCGCAATACCTTGACTTCACACCACTGGCAGTGAGGTTGTATTCTTCTAAGAGTAATAAGACCTCCCTCAACCCTTGAACATGCTCCCATACAAACCTTTTCACCCCAGGAGTCACTTCTGACTCATCCTTCTTAATAGGGCCCTTGACGGCAAGATCGTCGATTTACGGTTCGATGATTTGAGGGTTGATTGGCTGCATTACTCTGATCATACTCCATTGCACCATGACCACAACGTTGGTCCATCCCTGGGGTGCAACATTCATATTGACCAATCCTCTAGGCGTGTGCATTGCCGTAATGGGTCGGTCTGCAGGATAGACCGGGAATTGATCATACCCTGAGTAGAGATCGATAAGCGATACAATCGCTGCGCAGGATTCTGATAGTTGATCAGCATTGGGCAGTCCTCGAGCATCCCTTATGGTTACTGCGTTCAGTCGTTGGAGGTCTTGTACCCATCTGAGTACTCCATTTGGTTTTACAAAATAAAACCAGGGAGAAGCGTATGGTCCACTGGAGTACCCAGCAACATCCGTATAGATTTTTCCATCTCGGTACTCTACCACCCTTCTGCGATCTTCGGGGTTGCGGTACTTAGCTCCTCGGACATTCCATAGTTCATGAGGTACAGTATGAATGCGGATCATTTCGATCTTGTCTACATCCAACCTCCCACGTTGATCATCGTTGAAGGCATACGCCCCATGCTTTTCGTGTATCAGCTTTTTCACCAAGTCCTCTTTTTGCCTTGTCAGAAACCCAGACTCTCCTATTATCAATTCCTTCCCAGTCTCCTCGCAGATGCGACAAGATCCATTCTAAATGCCTTCCCTCATTCTCTGTATCATCTCGCTTTCCTGTTCATAGTACACGCCTTCTTCCCGACTTACTAGAACTGGTACTGGGTGACTCTTTTTGTCTACCGTCTTGTACCTCCTTTTGGAGCCCTGTTTGAGCCCACCCCTAAAAAATGCCGACTTGCAGCTTGTGCATTTGGCGCATGTGGCACTATCACCTGAGAAGAAGGAGGTGGCCGGCAGACAAGATCGACCCTTCCTCCTTTTGGATCGTCTTGGATCCTTTTTGCGAGTGCTCTGACAACGTCGGGGTCAGCCATCCTATAGGTTGATACCAGTTCTACTGCGTAACTGATATTGGTTAGGATCAACACAAGTCCTTTGGCTTCTTCATCATCTGACTCTTCTTCTTCTTCTTCTTCTTCCCACCCCAGTTCTCTCCTCTTATTTTCTGATTCTTCAAATGTGTAGGACCCGGCGTTGAGCCTGTTCTTCGAGCTGTGCGGTTCCGTATTCCTGCAAGTGATAACTTCAAAGTTCCCACAAGCGGGATCACACAAGATGACAAACATCGTGCCATCATGCTTGTTCATGATGAGCGACTCGGACCTGCATAGGAACGATCTGCCCAGTAATATTGGGAAATCTAGACTGGGCATGACATAGAAACACGTACGTACTTTAACTCTTCCTATTTCTATTACTGCATTCGATGCGACCCCTGTGTATGCGGTCTTGCTGCTAGCTCCATTGAGAAACCCGCAATCATTTTCATCAACTTCCGGTCCTAGTCTC